ACTATGTAATTGTATTTAATACATTAGAACAGAGAGAACTATGTAATTGTATTTAATACATTAGAACAGAGAACTATGTAATTGTATTTAATACATTAGAACAGAGAGAACTATGTAATTGTATTTAATACATTAGAACAGAGAACTATGTAATTGTATTTAATACATTAGAACAGAGAGAACTATGTAATTGTATTTAATACATTAGAACACAGAATTATGTAATTGTTTTTAATACATTAGAACAGAATACTAATTGTATTTAATACATTAGAACAGAGAACTATGTAATTGTATTTAATACATTAGAACAGAGAACTATGTAATTGTATTTAATACATTAGAACAGAGAGAACTATATAATTGTATTTAATACATTAGAACAGAGAACTATGTATTCGTATTCAATCCATCTGTATACTTGTATATTCATATCTATAAATCCAAGAACAACTAAATTTTAAATTTCAACGTTTCATTCAAATGTACAAAAGTTTATCTTTGAGCTACAATAGGAAATATTAGAACAGATTACTCCTATTATAAATTAGTAATATATAGTTAAGTCACTCATTACGTAAAACCATTCTTAATACAGATGCCTGACAAGCATATACTTAGAATAAAAAGCGAGATTCGCTGAATGAATCTACAAACTGAGATCTAAGTTCAAACACAAAGTGCCGTCTTTTTTTATTGCGTGCAAGTCTTAAACTGAAGTCCTTAGAACTTTTGTTTTAGGATTTTTTTTCCAGTGGTGGCTGTAGAAGTTTGAATTACACTACATATGCTCAAGTACGGTTTGATCCATCTCTTATGTTTATTATTGATGAATAAAATATGGCGGGTTACATTCACGGTAACTTGAAAAATAAATAAAATAAAAAACAGAAGAATATTCCAAGAAAAGTTGAAAAAAAAACTGTTTTACGTAATCCACTTGACATAACCGACAGCCTCGGGAGATGATGATCGACTGCAGTATAGAAAAAACGCCTTGACTACAGCTGTCTAAGTAGGACTTTGAAATCTTCTCAGATAGGGTTAGAAGATTGATTCTCATCATCATGAACCTAAGACAGGATTGTCACTATGAACCAACAAATATGTAAAGCACGACGTCTTTTGAGATACTGGTTGTTTTCAAAATAAACTATAAAAGTACACTGACGCTTTATAATGCGAATAAAAATTTCAAACATACAAGGATGATCTTCGCCGTGATAGCCTGGAAAACAACAACTCATTGATGCAAAAGTTAAGGTTTTTCACATAAAATACTAAGTTTACTAGGCCTGAGGTTGTTAGTTTTAAAAGTATGTTACTCAAAAGGAATAAGGAGATTAATCACAAAGTGTTGACTTTCAACTGTTTGGATTATAAACGTAATGAAATTCAGCTTTCACCTGTCTACAATTCTTTGCAAGTTTTATCCAACTGAAATCAAAGGCACCAATTACTTCACTCAGATCTGCAATAAAGAATTCGATGAATGGTGGATTATCGTTATTCTACTCAGATTCGGGTCGTTTTATGTTTTATTTATTTCTTAATTAAGTGATAAGTTTTATAAATCAGAACGTGCGTTTGTACGATGATCATTTAGGTGATTTCTTTATCGGAAGAAGCTGATGACGACTTCTGATGAAGAGTGAAATCTTCTTCCAATAAAAATAGCAAGGAAAAATCGCAAAAACCCATGTTACTGTGAGTAAACATTCGTAGAACTAGGGTTAGAGAGTATTTTCATGTACCTGCTACATGTCACTACCAGAGATAAACATTCGCAGAACTAGGGTTAGAGAGTATTTCCATGTACCTGCTTCACTTCACTACCAAAGATCTGAAGATCATTATTTTAGTTTGGGGCCCTTTACTACTCGAAATCCTTGGATTTTAGATACACTTATCTTAACCTTAGAACTGAAAGTTCCTAAAATACAGTTACTTTTTTACATGCAGTCAATATCCGAATACAATTATAGCATCAATACATCACCATTTGAACAGATAATTAAATAAAACCCTAAACCCAGAGTCCCAGGCTATAACTAGAAAGAAATGAAAAAATATAAACTATTTTTTACAAGTAGTACATATTACAAGATCAGGCGAACACAAAGTTTGTTGAGTGGACTTTGAATCATAGCTATTAAGACATATTATTATAAAGTATAATATGTCCAATGCAAAAAGAGTTGCCTCACTGGAGTAAAGTCGGATACCAAATTGGTGACTAATACTTAACATAGATCAATTTCTTCTTGAAAAATTGAAATTCGAACACACGACGTTTAGATAAACTGATCTGGAAGGTCTACAAGTGTCGTATGATTAAGTCTTCACGTTCATTAAATAATAAATAGAACAGAATGAGAGAACTCTTGAGGAACATCAAACAACGTTGTGGTTCAAAAAAAGCAAATACCACAAAATGGAGTGGTAATCTTGCAGTTGATTAGCAATAAACCCAACTTACACTTTGTTCAACTAACGGTAAAACACAGCTCATTGTTTGAATACCTTACTTTTCCACTTTCAAAGCCAATATATATATAAACTTGGTTAACAATCCTCTAGATAAAACAAATTACATAATTTTGTCATCTTAGTTTGCAAGTTAAATAAGTATTTGGTGTGGTCTAGAAACAAGACAATTCGTTATGCAGAGCATGGTAATTATCTTTGGCATTAGCTAATATATATATGTTTAGTTCTTATGTGATATTGTTTTCAAGATTGGACATATTTTGTCTAAAATGCAATCTAACAGAAAATTTTGATTTAAGATATACTGAATCGCAGGGGCAAAATAAATCGTTTGGAATAGAAACGTCGATGAGAATAACGAATTAAATATTCAAAGATATATATATATAAATGAATTTACAAGTTAGCAAGTTCAACTCTCGTGACAATTGGATATATAATCTGTCATCACTGCTAAGACAAATATAATTAAAACACTATATTTTAGAGCAATTTAAAGAGAAAAAAAAAAGAAAACTAGATGTCGCAAGTCCAGTATTGTAGTTGAAGTTGGGCTGATAATCTTGATTAAGATAAATTAGCTAAGAAAACATTTGCGAACGAATTCAAGAGAAGAAACCCAATGTTCAACAGAAAACAACAACTTGTATTTATTACGTAAAAATCATAACATTAAAATCTATATAAATAATACATTTGCGTTTGCCTATCCGGAAATTGTCTTGCAAATTTCTCGATCAAACGCTACAAATCTCATCTTGTTAGAAAGGCCTTTGTCCGAAGAGTCCGGATTGCATATTGGTTTTTCCATTCAGAATCACCTTACCTGTTTTTTTTCCATTCAGAATCGCCTTACCTGTTTTTTCCATTCAGAATCACCTTACCTGCTTTTTTATTCAGAATCACCTTAACTGTTTTTTCCCATTCAGAATCACCTTAACTGTTTTTTTCCATTCAGAATCACCTTAACTGTTTTTTTTCCATTCAGAATCATCTTAACTGTTTTTTCATTCAGAATCACCTTACCTGTTTTTTTTTCATTCAGAATCGCCTTACCTGTTTTTTTCCATTCAAAATCACCTTACCGTTTTTTTCATTCAGAATCACCTTATCTGTTTTTTCATTCAGAATCACCTTACCTGTTTTTCCATTCAGAATCACCTAACCTGTTTTTTCATTCAGAATCACCTTACCTGTTTTTTTCATTCAGAATCACCTTACCTATTTTTTTCATTCAGAATCACCTTACCTGTTTTTTTTCATTCAGAATCACCTTACCTGTTTTTTTACTCAGAATCACCTTACCTGTTTTTTGCTTAGTCAAACTTTTTAATGTAACGAGCTTGCTACACGATTGCACAATGTCGTTTTCATCACGTGACGACTGGCTTCAATTTAGTTTTTAATTTGCAAAGTATTTCACGCAAACAACATTTAACCCACTTATTATTTCCTAAAAAAATTAACATTACACTAAATACAATTGCTATGAGCTTTCTCGACTTACTTAGGTCTAAAATACGCATGTGTAGTTTGTTCAAAACCATGTGCTTTCCACTTTGTGAACACGCATTCAGATGTGTCTGCATACTCACCTAAGTTTGCCTTCATTACAACTTTACGTTTACTTCTCTTTGCAATAACCCAGCTTC